TGGTGTGATGTGGGCAGTGTTGCAGGTGTGGCTGTGTGTTGGCACGGTTGGTGTGATGTGGGCAGCATTGATGTGGGTGTGTTGGCACGGTTGGTATTGTTTTGAAACGCCTTCCCATGCTGCAGGCTCCACAGAGGCCTCACTGCCCCTGGAGAGGGAGGAGCAGGTCCGCCTTCAAGCACGGAAGCGACTGGAGGAGCAGCTCCGACAGTACCGGGCGAAGCGGCAACAGGAGAGGGTGAGCCCCTGAGCTGGTAAAAGCGAAGTGTGAGACGACCATTGTCAGAGGCGCTGGCAGCGTGTGTGTCAGCCTCGGCGTGTTGGGCTCTGTCATAGGTGTTGGTGTGCTTGTCTGTGAGTGTGAGATGGCTCTAATTGGACCGGGCTTGCTTTATGCTTCTCAGAAGGCATAAGCATAGGAGACTAGCCAGAGACGTTGTGTGGAAGATGAGTGATGAGCAGGGTGTTTGTTCAGTGCTATAAAGCCCCCGTGCTGGAGCCTCTGCGATTTTCTGGGTGGCCAGTGGGAGGTGGCCAGCGCAGAAGCAGCCTTTTGGGATGGCAGTTACAGAGTGCTTCTTGTTTTCTTCTCAGTCCAGCCAGCCTGCAATGAAGACAAGACTCTTCAGCACACTGGACCCTGAGCTCATGCTCAACCCAGAGAACCTGCCGAGGGCCAGCACCGTGGCCCTGACCAAGGAGTACTCCTTCCTGCGCACGAGTGTTCCTCGTGGGCCGAAGGTGGGCAGCTTAGGGCTCCTGGCTCGTTCCAAGGAGAAGAAAAGCCCCACGGCAAGCAGGATTCGGTCTTTGGCTGATTACAGAACTGACGACTTAGATGCTGGGGACTCGGCTGGGGGTTCCCCGGCCGCCGGCCCCTCCCGGGGCTCTCTGAAACAGAGCAGGGGCAGTGTGACGTCTGTGGTGTCTGAGGCTGGCCTGCCACCCGAAGCTGATGCCCACCTGGAGGATACCTCCCTGGCCGGGGATGACGCATCTGAAGCAGATGGCAGTGAGGCTGGACTGAGGCTGGATGGAAATGACAGTGACAGCTCCTCTTATAGCAGTACCTCCCCCCAGGCGGCGTTGGGGGCGCTGGCAGGTGTGGCTGGCACCCGGGATGCGGCCTACATGGTCAACGGCCAGGAGGTGGCCACTGACGCTCTGGGACACTTCCCTTCAATTAAGGATGTTCTCCAGGCTGCAGCAGCTGAGCATCGAGGCCAGGGGCCTGAGGTCAGCGGGGACGTTCAGAGCCGCAGAGGCAGCCTGTCTAGCAGGTAGGCAGGTGCGGTACCCAGACACCGGTGGTGGGAGGCCCTGTCACCACGTGCTCTCCTCAGGCCTTCCCTGTCTGCATGCCCCCCATCCCTCCAGTGGCCTAGCATGTCGCCACCATCCTTGCCCGTGTCCTTTGGGTATCATCATCAGTGTCACCTTCTTAGCCCTGCTGCTTAGTTGGAAGTAGACTTCAGAGTCTGGCATACTTGCGTCCCCATCTTCCATGGTGTGCACACTCCTCAGTGGCCCCTGCCTCCTGATGCTTATGGCCCAGCTCCTGGCAGGGGGTTTGCTGTTGCTTCGTGCTTTACCTTCACGCTCCGCTACCCTTCTCACTTGTTTGTCTAAAGCACGGGGGGCCGAGTAGCAGGAAGCTTGGGATGTGGAGTATGCAGAGGAGTGCAGAAAGTGAGCCGCCACTCGTGTGTTTGTCCCCAGTGTGTCCATCGAGAGCTCTGTCGCCGAGGCCCGGGACGAGATGCTGCAGGTGCTCAAGGAGAAGATGAGGCTGGAGGGGCAGCTCGAGGCCTTGTCTCTGGAAGCCAGCCAGGTAACACGGACCACTGTCCCCGTGCCCAGGTCTGAGAGTAGGATAGTTCCTGCTCCAGGGTGCAACGCTGCACAGGTGTCGTTACGGAAAAGCCTTTTTATGACTGTTACTATGTTGTCCAAGTTCACTTGACTCGGCCCAAGGAGCGTTAGGTCCTCCTTGCGCCCCTGACAGATATACCCTTAGTCCTTCCCTCCCATGCACTCCCACCCCCTGAGCTGTCTCCCTGTGCAAACACTGCCCTTATGTTCCCCCCTTGACTGATCGCTCTAAGGAGTGTATTTCTCTGATGTAAATGCAGCTCTTGGGCTTTTGTGTCTTTGAACTTTGCTCTCCCACCTTCCCGTGTTTTGTTGTGGAGCTGTGCTCGGTGCTCTGCCCCCAGGCTTGAGCAGATACAGCCCTCACCCCTCCCACCTTCCCCAGGTCTATGAGGCACTGTCTCTGGGATGCTGTTGTACAATGGCTGGACTGTCAGTTCTGATGGAAAGCTTGCTTTTCGGGCACCAGTCTGTCACAGGTGTCTTGCCCATTGGTCCTGCTGGGGAGGCCCAGTTCCTGTGATGGTGGCTGTGTTTGGGCTGTTTCAGGCACTGAAGGAGAAGGCGGAGCTGCAGGCCCAGCTGGCTGCCCTGAACGCCCGGCTGCAGGCACAGGTTGAGCATAGCCATAGCAGCCAGCAGAGGCAGGACTCCCTCAGCTGTGAAGTGGACACCTTGAAGCAGTCTTGCTGGGACCTAGAGCGTGCCATGACTGACCTGCAGAGCATGCTGGAAGCCAAAAACGCCAGCCTGGCATCCTCCAACAATGACCTGCAGGTGGCCGAGGAGCAGTACCAAAGGCTCATGGCCAAAGTGGAGGACATGCAGAAGAGCATGCTTAGCAAGGACAACACAGGTGATTGTCTGCTGCTCCAGCCCCTGTGCTTACCTGGCTGGTTTTCTTGTGCTCTGGTTTGGCCTGTCTATGATCTCCTGTCTCTTCCTCCTCTGCCCTGGTCTCTGGTAGTGATAACTGACCCGGGGACACAGAGCCGTGGGACAGGTACCGTCACCGGCTATGCTGGTGGCTGACAGACATCGTTGTGCAGGAACAGGAGTGGTGGCATCCGTGTCTATGAATCCGAGTGTCCCCTGGGGGGCGTCAGCTCGTTTTACCGCTCGTGTGGGCGTGTCTGAGTCTGAGCTGGCTGTGCTTCGCTTTCAGTGCGCGACCTGAGACGGCAGATGAGCGCGCTGCAGAGCCAGCTGCAGCAGGTGCGGGCGGAGCGCACGACACTGACCAGCAAGCTGAGGGCGTCGCAGGCTGAGCTCTCGTCCCTGCAGAGCGTCCGACAGTGGTACCAGCAGCAGCTTGCACTGGCACAGGAGGCCCGAGTCAGGCTGCAGGGCGAGATGGCCCACATCCAGGTGTGTGCCAGCGAGGCCCAGGCTGACTCTGCGGGGGCACAGAAGTTGGTCTTGTCAGCCACCGTCAGTGTGGGACAGGGCTGGTTCCCTAAATTAGAACGGTGTGTTTCACGGGAAACTTAAAAAGCAAAGTCCACTCATCCCTCATCTGGTCACACCCCTCCTGTGGGGCGTTCCTAGTATCTATCTAAAGTCCCGTCTTTGGAATGTACTGTTGACCCTGGTCCTGACAGGGACACTTTGGCCATTTGGCCTTGGCTTCCACAATCCACTCCTCTCTGCACTCAGTACACCCTCCTGGCCTGGTCTCAGCCCTCTGCCCAGCCCTGCTCTGCACATGCGGGACTCTCCCTATGTAAATGGTTGTGTCTTCGTTCTCCTCTGTTGTCACTTTGTTTGTCATGCACAGACCTGTCCCATATCACCTTGCTTCTCATCCGTGGGAAGGAAGACTGTCCAGGTCCTTGGGAAAGTGTCACACGAGACGTGTGGACTGGCAACTCTCAGGGTCATCAAGGCTGTGCTACCTCAGGCTTTGTTTTAAATTTTATTTTTATTGTGATTTGGGTAAAAGTTTGCAGAGCAAATTCACTTTCCATACAGCAGCTCACATACACTTTGTCTCATGCCATTGACTGCGATTTCCCACAATGCAACAGCTCCCTTCCCACTTTCCTCCCCTAGTTACCTCTTCCCTGTGTCCTTCCCTCCATGCACTCCTGTCCCCCGAGCTATCTCCCTGTGCACACACAGCCCTTCTGTTTTCCCATGATTGATCTCTCCAAGGAGTGTGTCTACCTAATGTAAATGTTCAGCTCACATGCCTGTCTTTTGTTTGGCTGGAAGTCACAGGAGTGGGTTCAGTTCCACACCTGAAGGGCAGCTAGGGACCATAGTCTCAGGGGTTCCACCAGGCTCTGTCAGACCAGCAAATCTGGTTCCTTTTTTTTTTCCCCAGTAATTTTGCACCTCAGTCTCTTAGCAGCAGATGTTAGAAGTCTTCAGTCGGGAGAGGCAGCTACTGAAAAGAACTTGTCTGGAGTGTCAGAGTGCTGCCAGGAACATTGAATGGGCCCATGCTTGGCTTAGTCTATGTATGAATCTAGCCATGGGTTTTGCTGTCTCTCTTTTATCTTGGTTTTTTTTTTTTTTTAACCCCCAGATGGATGTTTTAGATTTTTTTCAAACTTTACTTCCCAAGTCATTAATACAATTTACACAAAGCATATGTGCTCAAAAGTTTATTGCGTATGTTCTAAGCCAAAGGACCACATGTTTCTTCTACTTAAAACATTCTTGGAAATAAACTGTGATATGAGCAAGAGTACTTTGGAAGAAGTACACTTATCTGGGCATGAATGATTGACAGAGTTAAACCAGGCCTCTGTGTCCTGACATTTGTCACAGTGTAATTTGGAAGACAGAAATGGAGGGTCATGGAACATAGCAGTCTGGGAACTTTAGCTTCTTTTTAGAAGTACCTTGGGACCCAGGTTCAGGACTTTTAACACATCTTCAGAACTGAGTGTCCCCCTTAGCGATGGAGGTGTGGTCTGCATGAGGCAAGAGAGGGCCGGATCCTGGTGTTCTCACTGCCTGGGAAGCTCCAGCCCCAACCTCCAGTTCACTTTCCTGTCTTGGCCAGAGCTACACTCAGTGGTGATAGGAGACCTGGCCTACCCTCTGTTTCTGTTGTGTTCCTTGCCCCTTTTCGCAGGGCCCATGCAGTGGGTGCTGCAGTTGCCCTTTCTTCTGGAGAGGTCTTGGTGTGGCACCGACTGGCCTGTGGCCTGTGGTTAGGGCCCTGCTGGGGGAGGGTGGCTTGGGTGGTGGCGATTTCAGCCATGCTGCCTCTGTCCAGTTCAGGTGGTCACCTGTAGGACTCCCAGACATGCCTCTGTGGGGAATTGTTGTGCAGGTGTTGGCACAGCTGGGCACTCTCAGGGTGCTGCCCCCCCTGAGGCCAGGTGGCCTGAGCTTCAGTGAGGAGACCACCGTGAGAGCTGGGGGTGCAGCAGCGGCCTATGCTAATGGTAGCACCTCATACTGGTGGCCCAGGGCAGGCCGGCCCCCATGTGTCTTTCAGTCTAGTGACTTTATGCTTGTGGGTTTTTCCTTCCAAGGTTGGACAGATGACCCAAGCAGGCCTCCTAGAGCACTTGAAGCTGGAGAACGTGTCTTTGTCCCACCAGCTGACGGAGACACAGCACAGGTCAATTAAGGAGAAGGAGCGCATCGCCGTTCAGCTGCAAAGCATTGAGGTGAGGACACCCAGTCGGACTGGGGCCACTGACAGAGTACAGTACATACATAAGCGTATTTGTATAGAAATAGTAGCTGCATATCATCACATGCACATGTTCAGTCCCCTCAGACACTCTGTGCTGGTAGAGTGCATGGATACATGAATGTGTGTAGAAACAGGATCTGCGTATCGTACACATTGTTGTTGTTGTTGTTACGTGCCGTCGAGTCAGACCTGACTCATAGCGACCCCTCCTTGGGTTTCCGAGGCGGTATCACTACGGAAGTAGATTGCCCAACCTTCTTTCCGAGGAGTGGCTGGTGGGTATGAACCGCCAGCCTTCTGGTAAGCAGTCAAGTGCCCTAGGCACTATGCTACCAGAGCTCCCCCTAAATAGGCATAGAGACTAGGATTTGTAATATATCAGAAAATGGAGGCCTGTGCCTAGAAGGACCATGTTAAGCAATTCACTGCACTGCAGGAAACAACAGGTTACAATTCAGGATCAGGAATGACTCAGTTTATCAGGACAGCCGCTTCTCAGCCATGCCAATAGGCAGGCCTCTCAAACACCCTATGCTGGTAGAGTGTGTGGATACATGTCTGTGTTTAGGAACAGAATCTGTGTAGCACATGTCCACATGAGTACTCTGAAACACCCCGTGCTCGTAGAGTGTGTGGATACGTGTATGTGTGTTACGTGCATACATTTAGTACTCTGAAACACCCCGTGCTCGTAGAGTGTGTGGATACGTGGATGTGTGTAGAAGCAGGATGTGTGTTACATGCATACATTTAGTACTCTGGAACACCCCGTGCTCGTAGAGCGTGGATACGTGTATGTGTATAGAAGCAGGATGTGTGTTACATGCATACATTTAGTACTCTAGAGTACTCTAGAACACCCCGTGCTCGTAGAGTGTGTGGATACGTGTGTGTGTGTAGAAGCAGGATGTGTGTTACATGCATACATTTAGTACTCTGGAACACCCCGTGCTCATAGAGTGTGT